CCCCTTCCCGCCCTCCGTGCTCCCCTTCCCGCCCTCCGTGCTCCCCTTCCCTTCCGTAACTCGTGTGTTCTGTGACTCTTCCCACCTCATGGGCCCCTTTCTAACTTCCTGGCCATTGCTCACATTTATATGGATGCATATTTAACAACTGGAAGCTAAGGGGCCAGCGAAATGGTTCCATGGGTAAAGGTGTTTTCCACCCAAGCCTGGCGACCTAAGTTTGATCTTTGGAACCCATGTAAAAGTAGAAGAGAACAGACTCCAGAGAATTGTCCTCTGACCCCCACACACATGGCTGTGGCACACGTACCCACACACACATATCATGCACACACACAATTTATTTTCTAATAAATGAAAAGGAAAAGCATTAAGAGCTAGGAGCCAAGTCTGAGAGAAAACTATCAGAAGCATATGTCTTTCTGAGCCTGGCCCATCAAACTCATAGAATTCCATTGCACCACATCATCATTAGCCACTCATCTGTCAGTGAGCATCCAGGCCGACTCCATTTCCTTACTGGTGTGAAAAGAGCAGTGAGTGTAGATGAGCAGGTGTCTCTGTGGCAGGAGGTAGAGTCCTTTGGGTATGTGCTCAGGAAGGCTAAGCTGGTCATATGTCATGACAGATCTCCGCATTGATTTCCACTATGTTTAGACTTACTTTTTTTTTTCTTTTTAAGTCTTTCATGATATTTTTTAAGGGTTCAAGTTAGTCTTGTTTACAGGGTGATCCTGATTTCCCTGCTTCCTCATAAAATAGATTCAAGTTAAACTGTTTGTTATTTATTTGCCTGTTTGTGAAAGGGTCTCACTGTGTAGTTCTGCCTGGCCTCAAACTTGTTATGTAGACCAGGCTGGCCTCAAACTTGGAGATTCTTCTGCCTCCGCCTCCTGTGCTAGGATTAAAGACGTCTGCCAGCATGCCTTTCCAGTTTTTAAAGTCATGAGTTCATACTGATGAGTCTAATTCAAGTCCAAACCATTAGAATTCTCATCCCATTTTGTATCTCCTGTCTTACATCGTGCATAAGCTGGTTCACACCTAAGTATGTTTACTTCCTGTTACATGTTCCACAGATACTAGAATTATCATACGTCAGTGGTACTATCGATAACAAACTATCAGAAAGCTTACAATTTCATTAAAGTCTTTTTTTCTTTTGTCCTTATATTATTATATCCCACTAAGGGATACATTCTTATTATATATATTTGAATATATAAAAACATTAACTTAATTGAGAAATTAGAGCTGTATAAAAAGATATAAACTCTGATGGTTTCTATTCTCTTAAGATAACCCTATTAATTTGAGTTCCCATTCCTGTTTCTTTTTATAAAAGTTAAATTAACATATTTTCAGTTCTCCTTATCTATACAGAGAACATTTTGTATTACTCTTGCATCTTGCTATTATTACTATTACTATTATTATTATTTAAGACACCAACTTGAATATCCACTATACAGCATTAACAGTGACTTAAACAATAATGATAAAATTCTATGTGGTTTCACTTTTTTTGTTTTTTTTTTTTTGTTACATATTTTAAGGATTACTACTGGAAAAGCTAATTCTTTTCCATAATCACAGCATTTAATTGGCAGGATTTTTTGGCAATTTAATTGGCACATGGGAAAAATCATGTTGGGTAATGAAATAAGACTCAACTGAAGTCAGTCTGGTCTCTGGGAGATGCCGCCAGTCTGGGACCACTTGAATGAACTTCATAGCCTGGGGGATTTTAGACCATTTAGGAGCCGGGGTTAGTCTGTAAAGTGAAGAGGGGGCCTTTTGCAGTTATGTGTGAGAGCTTTTACTAGCACAAAGACGTTTAAGTTCTGTTTCCAGCTGGTCCTTACCTGGTGCCTGATCTCCTCTGCAAAGGGATCCTGTTGGCTGCCTTCCAGCTTTGTCTTAGGCCCCTGGACTGCTTGTACTCTCAAAGCGGCTCTTTAAACGCCTGGGCTGTCATGGATCAACATCTCAAGTAGATGACTTCAGCTCTGGCTCTCCTCCTGCCCCCTGCTTTTACCTGTTTTTGACTCATGCTGAGGATTTTGCCAGCTCCAAGATGAGTAGTTAGTTGAGCCTTTGATTAACTTATCTCACTCATTGGTTCTACCTCAAGAAAAGAGCTAGGTATGAGGTCACATCCCTTTAGTCCTAGCACTTGGGAGGCAGAGGCAGGCAGATTCTGTGAGTTCAAGGCCACCCTGGTCCATATAGTTAATTCAGGCCTGCCAGGGCTACATAGAGAGACCTGTCTAAAATAAAGGAAACTGAAACATGGGTATTTTGTAACTAGTGGTATTGGTCTTCAGTGGCCATTACTGTCTCATAACTTTTTTGTTTTGGTTTGGTTTGGTTTCTCCCTGTATCCCTGGCTGTCCTAGAACTCACTCTGTAGACCAGGCTGACGTTGAACTCAGAGATTTACCTGTGTCTGCCTTCTAAATTCCGGGATTAAAGGTGTGTGCCACCACATCCAGCTCAGACCTGTTTTTTTTTAATGTGTATGATTATTTTGCCTAGATGTATGTATGTGTATTATGTGTCTCTGATATCTGTACAGGTCAGAAGAGAGTGTCAGATCCCCTGAAATAGGAGGTAAGGGTGGTTGTAAGCCATCATGAGGGTGCTGAGAATGTCTGCAGGAGCAACAAGTGCTCTTAGCTGCTGAGCCAATTATCCAGCCCCTATCTTGTAGTACAAGACCTAGCCGTTCTCTGAGGCTCAATTCAGATCACATCATCTCGGTCGCAGCTTCTGTTGTTTACCTGAATCAACACTGATTCCTTTCTTGGAAATACTAGACTACTGTTGGGTCTTTTAACCAACAGATATCACCTGTAAGCAACCACTCTGAATAGTTACATACACATACTTAAGCCTTCATTCATGGTCTCAGTTCCTGAATTTCTAATAAACTGATTTTCTTAAATGTACATTAATTATAATAGTATCAATGGGCTTTTGCTTTAAGCTTGTTAATTATAATTTGTGATGAATTCAGCAGTGGAGCACTTATCTAGAAGGCATGAGGGCCTAGGTTCAATCTGCGTGTGCGCGCACTACTTTCTAGCATGTATGTAGATACTGTAGCCTGCTTACACAGAAGTTAAACTGACCTGCTAGGACCAGCTGGTTCTTTTTGTCTATACCCAATTGTTGATCCACTTATTTTGTTCTTCTGGACCAGTATAACATCCTGATTGGAGAGTTGTCTTTTAAATTTTTTCCTCTATTAAGAAAAAAAAACAATATAACTATACTTCTAGCACTAAATATCAGTAAAAGTGACAATGAATTTACTGAAAACTAGAAAAAGAAAACTATAATTTCTCCACTTCATTTTCATGGTAGCACTTTCTCATTTGACGTTGCTCCTAGACACGTTCTGCTGTCAACTGTGATTTTTGTATTTGAATAAAAGTAATGAAAATGAGCCAGGCAGTGGTGGCGCACGCCTTTAATCCCAGCACTCGGGAGGCAGAGCCAGGCAGATCTCTGTGAGTTCGAGGCCAGCTTGGGCTACCAAGTGAGTCCCAGGAAAGGCGCAAAGCTACGCAGAGAAACCCTGTCTTGAAAAAACAAAACAAAAAAAACCAAACAAACAAACAAACAAAAGTAATGAAAATGATTTGTAAATTCAAGCAGCATAAGGAAGCAAATTAAATATGTGGCTTCTCCCCTCGGGACCTCGTCCCTCAGACATCAACATTTCCATGCGTGATACGTGTAGCATGTCTTTACAGAGATGAGACCTCACCCGCTCCATGTGCTGTTTTACGCCTGTTTTTATTCACTTAGTGTGCCTGCACAACCCTTCCTAGGCGTTCCTAGACCTCCCTGACTCCACCAGTCACCAGTGTCCCACACAGGCCTCACTTCTAGATGCAGCATTTCATTTTCAGTGGCCACATACTGTCCTGTTGAATTGACAGGTTGGAAATTTATCATACCTTGAGCTGCATTTAGTTTCTGAACCATCCTGTACCTTTTTCTATATTGCAAATTGTTCATATTATATAACTAAAACTTCAGTTTCATATTTCCCACTTGGTTTTCATAGTGGTGTAACACAAACTTTGTTAAATAATGTATTAGAAACATAGCAGCAGGTATGAATAAATGCATACTTGAGAGCCTTGAAATCAGATTTTGGATTAGAGGTTTTTTTGTTTGTATTTTGTATAAACAAATTATTTTTCTAAGTTCATTTGACTGACCACCAAATTCAATCTCGGGCCATTTTCTGAAGAAAATGTAGAAAATATATAAGCTATTTCCAGAGTTTACATGTGAGTTGAAAGTATAAGTTGTCAAACATAAGTGACACAAAGTTGTGAAAATATAAGTCACACGAAGTTGTGAAATAATTACCTAAGGCCAAGTTCTGTCATTGTATTAAGTTGAACCGTATTGAGGGTGCTGATACTCAGCCTTTCGGCCTTTGAGGAAGACAGTTTAATCTTTCACCCATCCCTGCTGTGTTTAGGTTGTAGGGAGGGGTGCTGTGAAGGGAACACAGGGAACTGCAAACACCTGTCAGTAGGTAGGATCAGACAGTCTGGAGCTGGCATAGTGCTTACAGCTGTGAACATGGCCTTGAACTTAAACATGAGGCGTAAGAGATGTAGAAAGGTAAAAGGCCAGATTATTGGGGTGAAATGCCGGGGGGGGGTATTTTGAACTCTTTTGGGGAAGGGGATACTTTTTTAGCCCTTAGGCTGCTTGTCCTCCCACTTTGCTGTGGAGCAGAATAAATAGCCTTCAGTACTTGCTAAAGCATCCAGCCTCACTGCCGGTGTGTCTGAAGTAAGTTTAGGATGTGACCCAGTAATTTCAGTTCATTTCCAGGTGACTGTGGAACACATACTGCTAGTAGACACTCAGAACATTGGTTAAGGCTGCCAGATGAGAGTAGAAAGCACTCCATTCGATTATTTTAAGAATATTATATGATGAGCCAGGCATGGTGGCACACACCTTTAATCCCAGTACTTGGGAGGAAGAGGCAGGTGGATTTCTGAGTTTGAGGCCAGCCTGGTCTACAGAGCAAGTTACAGGACAGCCAGGGTTACACGGAGAAACCCTGTCTTGAAATATAATATATATATATATATACATATATATATATATGTATATATATATATATTATATGGTAACCTAGCATAGTGGCTCACACCTATAATCCCAGCACTCAAGAGACAGAGGCAGGTGGTTCTCTGAGTTCAAGGCCAGCCTGCTCTACATAGTGAGTTCCAGGACAGCCAGAGCTACATAGACCCTGTCTCAAAAAGAAAACAAAAACAAATTTTATTATTTGAGATTGTGCCTGTAGATGGGAAGGGGGAAAAAAGCAGGCCTACTTTATGAGATCTCTGTATGTATAAACTACACCATGTGTCCCAAGTTTCTCTTCACAGTGTCACCTGCCTCCTGTCTGCAATTTCTACCATACCGACTAGTAAGCCTCTCCATTTTCTGTGATTTATCTCCTCCTTTTCTAAGCATTCATTTTCCTTTCCTAAACCTCAAGGACCATAAAATGAAATTCAGAACTGTAACCTTCAGATATTTTTATTCATGTATATTATTTTGTTCCTTTCTTTAAAGAGGAAGACTTTTAATACTGTTTTTATTTCAGAATCGGAAACAAAAGCTGAAGCACATATTCCATTAAAGGATCTTCCGACATTCAAACAGGATGGAACCCAGACCGTCAAGCAGGATGGAACCCAGACCGTCAAATTGGAAGAAGCCGATGACTGTGATGACTGTGATGACGGATTAGAGAGGCAGCCAATGTATGACTTCATGAAGATTCCGATGGATGAAAGAGACTTCAGTTTGAAGTCAGAGATTTCACAAGAAGACCTTCCAGAAGAATATCTTAGTAAATACGATATATATAGAAATGATTTTGAAAAGCACACAAACCTAATTGTACAGTTTGATACCCAATCAGATAATAAAACTTCTCTATATAATGAAAGCAAGCCAACATTCAATAATGTCTCATCTGGTGTCGTACATGGGAAAATACTTCCTGGAGATAAGCCTTATTCGTGTAATGTCTGTGGAAAAAAATTTAGGAAATACCCGTCACTCCTGGCACACCGAAATAGCCATGCCAAAGAGAAATCTTATGAATGTGAAGAATGTGGGAAAGAGTTTAAGCATATCTCGTCCCTCATTGCACATCAAAGAATGCACACTGGAGAAAAACCATATGAATGTCACCTGTGTGGGAAAGCCTTCAGCCAGCGTGCACACCTTACCATCCATCAGAGAATCCACACTGGAGAAAAACCCTACAAGTGTGAGGATTGTGGGAAAGACTTTAGTCAGCGTGCACATCTTACTATACATCAAAGGACACATACTGGTGAGAAACCATACAAATGTTTGGAATGCAGTAAAACCTTTAGCCATAGTTCATCATTGATTAATCATCAGAGAGTTCATACTGGAGAAAAACCTTATATATGCAATGAATGTGGGAAGACTTTCAGTCAGAGCACACACCTTCTCCAACATCAAAAAATTCATACTGGGAAAAAACCATATAAGTGCAATGAGTGTTGGAAGGTGTTCAGTCAGAGCACTTACCTTATTCGACATCAGAGAATTCATTCTGGAGAGAAGTGCTATAAATGCAACGAGTGTGGGAAGGCCTTTGCTCATTCATCAACTCTTATACAACACCAAACTACTCACACCGGAGAGAAAGCCTATATATGTAACGTGTGTGGGAAAGCCTTCAGCCAGAGTGCAAACCTGACCCAGCATCATAGAACACATACTGGAGAGAAACCATATAAATGTAGTGTGTGTGGGAAGGCCTTCAGCCAGAGTGTGCACCTTACTCAACACCAGAGGATTCACAACGGAGAAAAGCCCTTTAAATGTAATGTATGTGGGAAAGCATATAGACAAGGTGCAAATCTTACTCAACATCAAAGGATTCATACTGGAGAGAAACCCTATAAATGTAATCAGTGTGGGAAAGCTTTTATTTACTCTTCATCACTTAATCAGCATCGAAGAACTCATACTGGAGAGAGACCCTATAAATGTAATCAGTGTAACAAAGATTTTAGTCAGAGAACATGCCTTATTCAACACCAGAGGATTCACACAGGAGAGAAGCCCTATGCATGCCGGCTGTGTGGGAAGTCCTTCACCCAGAGTACCAATCTTATTCAGCATCAGCGTGTTCATACAGGTGCCAGACATCGCAACAGGTGCCAGACACCGCAGTTGATGGACATGACTTTGTTTAAGCTTCATAACTTGATTGCCTAAATTTCATTTCATGTGCTGTGTCAGAATATTCAAAAAATCTGAAAAAGTGCAATATGCTAGATATCACAGTATCAGAAGTACCAGAATTAGTAAAATGGCTTGTCCATTTAGATTCTAGTGTGAAACTTAAAGTTCTATCCACTGCTTAGGTTTCATCTCATATCACTTGAATTCATTCCAGAAAGAAATACTATGAAAGGATATTTTGAAACCTGTGACTCATCACCTCTTAGTATTTTTCAAGTATGTTTTATTGAGGCCTTATGACTCTAACTTGGGCAAGTGTCCATCAAGTAGATCTCCCACTAGAGAGTAATATTGACATCAGAAAGAAGATAGATGCTTTGGGGATGCTTCATCCTAGCTTTGAAGCCTTAAAATAAGTAAAAGGTCCTCCTCAGCTTTTGCTTCCTCTTTTCCCATTGTAATCTCCATGTGAAGCCAGTGAGCTTGAGGAGGAGACCTGAAAAGATCTTAAGAGATTTCTATGTGACCACACTTCCTCCAGGAAGAGACGGCAATCTGAGAAGATAGAGGATCAGGTTATACAAAACCCTAGACATGAACAAACTCAGACACAGATTAAACACCCCAAGCTTAAAGTCATTAGTACAACGGTATTTTTAGTTTCACTGGTTTTGACATCCAGTGTTACCCTGAAGAAAAAAAAGACAGGCTAACCGTTCCCATTTTTTTTTCCGGGTAGCTTTTAATTTGATAAGTGTGCCCATGGCTCTTACTGTAGCAAAGTCATTGCTTTCTATGAAACCCATTTCCTGAGAGCCTACTGTGCTCAGAATGCAGACTTCTGATTGAACCCTTTCAGTTAACGAAGATCTTTAGAGTAAAGAAAAGGTGAGGACATGCTCTTAACTCCTTTGCCATGGAACAAGCATAATCCTACCTAAATGAGTGGCCAAATACTACCCTATAGGCCAGGTTAAGTGAGCAGTGAACATAGCTATATAAATAACGTGAGAATAAGTAAGAGACAAGGTTCGAGTCCAGAGCAGGGTGGAAAGGAGTGAGGAAGGTGGGTATGCAAGTAGCTGGTGTGACATGAAATATAACTGGGACCCCTCTACCTAAGGAAAAAATAGCGGTAAAAGAAAAAATAGGCTATTTATAAGAAGATAAAAAGGAAGTTATTTTCAGGAATAATTAGAAGCCTAATACTCTTTCACACATAGAAGTAAAATAGAAACTACACTTAATGTGTTAAGAAAATGTTTCATTGGAAAAAAGCCTTGGTGCAGAAACTATCAGTAATCAGTAAACAAGAGCTGAGTTCATGGGTCTTCAACAGCATAGAAGAAAGGTTGGCAGGCGTCCATTTTTAACTGCTGCTGTATTTACTATCCATAGCACCACACTCCCAGAATATAAAGCAGAGCTTCACTCTGCTCATTCCTGCTTCTCCGGGGCCTTGCATATGATCAACATATGTTGGCCGAGTTGATGAGTAAATTGTGTGAATTAGAGTTGAGTGCTAAGGTAGAATCTTCTCACGCGTGGAGAGAAAATGTGTGGAACTGAAAATAACTTTGTGTCCATGTATCACATGTTTAACAAATACCATTTACCGTGTAACAACAGCTTAAGAATGGAGAATCAGAAGTAGCGGGACATCATTGCCCAATGAAAGTTCCCATAACTAAATGAGAAGAAACAAATTCTGGTGCCATAAATACCTAAGTTTATATTGACAATACAGCATCACTAGACACCACAAGGAGGGCTGAAGAAAAGGGTGAGATGCTGGCATCCTGAGGTTATCTTTATGGGAATGTTTCTTGTTTGTTTTGGTTTTGATTTTTTTGTTGTTGTTTGGTTGGTTGGTTTATTGAAACAGGGTTTCACTGTGTAGCCCTGGCTGTCCTGGAACTCACTCTGTAGACCAGGCTGCCTCTGCCTCCCTAGAGCTGGGATTAAAGGCCTGCGCCACTGCCACCACCCAGCAGTGTTTTCTTAATGAAATTGTCACTTTCTCTTGACATTAATTACCCTTGACTTCATACTAGTCACAAAATTCTGGTTAAAATACTTAGATTCTTCTCATTCCTCAGTTATGTTAAAAATAGCGACTGTATTTACTAGATGGTTTTTGATGTTGCTTCATGCCTTGCATAATGCTTCTTTCTGCTGGGGTGAGTGTGGTGTGGTCCAGGCCATAGGGCAGTGTTTTGTGTTTCCTGCCTTTGTGTGTTTTATGTAAATAATATAAAGTCTTCCACTGGGACACAGACGCAAGTAAGGCTCCTATAAAAAAATAGAATAATAGTACATAATCCTGTCTTTGTGTGTTTTTCCTCATTTTAAAGTTGTCTGGCCCCTGAGTAACTCAACAGATTTTAACAAGCATTTCCTACAACTTTTTATTAGGAACATTGCTAAATATGTTTTAAAAAGTTTAAAAATCATAAAATCAACTGTCCCCACCACCACCATATTTTAAAGTTAATATTTTGCCAGATTGAAAAGTATCTTAAAGACATTTCACCTCCAAATACATCTCATAAAAATAAGTCATTCACATAACTATATTACCTCAAAGAAAATGGGCAGCCCTTTCCAACATCTGAACACCTAACCCATTTTCTGGTTTCCTGGTTGAGCCAGGGAGTTTCTTCATACGCTTTATTGGATCTGCTTCCTCTAGAACAGTCCCTCTCGTTTTTTTTTTCAGGATGTGTTGATCATCACATTCGGGATTTAGTTTATACATGGTTTGTGTGTGGTGTCATGTCTATCCTGAAGCTTCTGTATATTAGAAGTTGAGGCCAAAGGCTTAGCTGAGCTCAGGTTAACCATCTTTAACCATAGCATTTCACAGTTTCATTGCCAAAACTCACTGTCAGGCCAACACGCTGTTGGTGATGTGACACTTGGCTGTTGAGGTGGTACCCACCAGATTGTCCCAATGTCATTCTTCCTGTTGTGGTTAACCATCTGTGGGCTGACACTTGGGCAGTGTGGCTGTCCTCTTAACCAACAAGTTTGTACCTAGTCATATCGTTACCTAACAGTAATCTTTGCCTGGGTCAATCATTAAGGTCTGCAAAACATAGTTTTCTCTCGCTCTTTTCACATTTGGTGAGCAGTATTCCGTAAGGAAGAATGTTCCTGCATTAGCTGATGCATTAGAAGCAAGATCATGCTTAGCTCTTTTCCACTGATTAGCCAGCCAATTTAGGAGTTTTTTGTGTTATCTACAGTGATGACAGATGAGTCAGTGTGTTAGTCAGTCACAGTTTCTGTCACCCCATCTGGAATTGTCTCTAGTCTCTGGGTACTTTATTGCCTTCTAACACAAGGTGTCTCAAGTTCATCCTTCATTTCCATTGCCCAAAACCTGGATGGAAACAGCTCTCCTGAAACTCCTGGCTCCTTTTTATAATGAGCTATTTAGAAACAAAATCTGGGCACTCACACTCAGTGAAACTGGAGTGCCATTAGCAAGTGTTCCCAACCGAACTTATAAAGAGGAAATCCTCTCTCCACTCATTTTGCCAGTTACACACCTAAGTATTTATTGAGGAATACACTTACAAATTGGGTAACTCGGGAGCAAACCACCAGGTCTCATCAAGCATCCAAGTAAATGGAACAAGCATGTGCACTGAAAGGAACAGTTAGGACCACAAAAGGTCTGGTACAAGCTCATCAGCCATTTGTTTGAGGGAATGGAGCTCTTCAGTTAATCTGGCTGTGGGTTAAGTGTAGGGCAGTTATGAAAGCAAGCAGGTATATGGTAACTGCCACACTGTGACTAGTACATCTCAATAGCTGTATAAGCTGGTAACACCTTCCATCACTTTCATCTGTGGTGCTGGTTTGAACCCAGGACCTCACAGGTTAAGCTAATGTTCCACTACAAAGCTACACCACCACATCCCTACCATATTTCTTTGTGTGTGGGTGTGAGTATGATGTATGTATATGTATGTGATGCACTTATGTGTATGTTCATATGTGCATGTGGGTGTGTAGGCCAAAGACAGTGTTGGTTGTTCTCAATCATTCACCTTATTTTTTTATTTACTTTTTTTTTAAATTTTATGTGTATGGGTGTTTTGCTTGCATGTACGTCTGTGCTCCATGTGCATGCAGCCCTTGCAGCAGCTAGAAGTCGGTATAAGATTCCCCTGGACTGGAGCTATAGATGGTTGTCAGCCACTATGTAGGTTCTGGGAATCGAACCCTGGTCCTCTAGTAGAGCAGCCAGTGCTCTTAGCCATCAAACCTTCTCTACAGCCCTCTACCTTATTTTGGGGGATTGGGTCTTTTCACTGAAGATTCACTCACAGATTCCACCTGCCTGGCTGAATAGCAAGCCCCATATTCACCTGTCTCTGACTCCTGCACACTAGGGTTACAGACAGATGCCAGCACATCTGGCTTTTATATGTATGCCAAAGATCTGAACTCAGGTTCTCATGGCTGCACAACAGACACTCTACCAGCAGCCATCTCCCCAGCCCCTGCATCATTTTTTTTTTTTGAGACGGTTTCTCTGTGTAGCTTTGGAGCCTGTCCTGGAACTCACTCTGTAGACCAGGCTGGCCTCGAACTCACAGAGATCCACCTGCCTCTGCCTCCAAGTGCTGGCATTAAAGGTGTGCGCCAGCACCACCTGGCTTGCATCATTTCTTAAACTAGTTCTCTGAGGATCTGTCCAATGCAAACGTAGTGTTTTGTCTGCCTCATTATCCTCCTGTCTCAGCCTCCATAGTGCTGAAATTATCACCATGGACCAACAGCAGGGCTGAGCAACAGTTCCGATTTGGTTGGACTACTTTTTAGTATTTAAACCTTTAAGGTATGATGATTCACTTCTGTTCTTGTGTCTGCTCCACGCATAAGTCTGTAAATGGAATTTGCATTCTCCATGTTGCTCTCGACAGGGCTCTGTATGTCACCATATTTACTTGTCCCGTTGAACATTAGAACCATTAAAAATGCTAAGCATGTTCACTTTGGTGATACGTATGAAGTGTGTGTTAGGCATCATCTGGTGTTCCACACTGTAAGCAAGGGGAAAGTGAGCCCAGAGTGTTTCTAGGTCACATAGTGACAATATGATTTGAAACCCATACCTTCCAGCCCTTGAGTTCTTGTAAAATAATAGTAAGTAGAAGCTCTAAGTACAACTAGTATATATGATTTTACAAAGTTATTAGAACATTGAGGACATCTTTTTTCTGTTTCTGCCTTTTCATACATTGTTTCCTTAAATAGGAATAGCTCAACTCAAGATGCACCTCCCATATCTTCAAAATGTTTTAGAACCATATAGTTCATGATCGCCTGGAATACCTGGAAAATACCCTAAGTAGTTTGAAACTGAATTGTTTAACCCCAAAAGGCTTTTTAAATTCACTGTACCTTATGAGAAAGCTGGAAACTAATGTCTTCATCATAAGGTACATCATAACTCTCTTAGTCCTGATGTTTTGTTTTTGTTTTCTGAGACTGGCTGTCCTGGAACTCACTTTGTAGACCAGGCTGGCCTCAAACTCAGAGATCTGCCTGTTTCTGCCTCCCAAATGCTGGGATTAAAGGTGTGTCTCACCACCGCCTAGCAGTCCTGATGATTTTTATAATGAAGGTCCTGTCTTGTGCCTACAGAATGATATCTTTTCCTGAAGACCAGTCTTAGGCCATATCAAAATAAGATCTGTATCTAGAAGTGAAAAATATGATGGGCATGGTGGCGCATGCCTTTAATCCCAGCACTCGAGAGACAGAGGCAGGCAGATCTCTGTGAGTTCAAGGCCAGCCTGGTCTACAAAGCAAATTCCAGGACACAGGACAGCCAGGGCTATTACACAAAGAACCAACCCTGTCTCAAAATGCCAAAAAAAGAGAAAAGAAAATTATCTCACTCCACTGGATGTTGATTTAAAATATGACCTAGGGCACCATCAAGATGGCTCCTCAGGTAAAGGCATTTGCCACATAAGCCTGGTAAAGGGAGAGAACCAACTCCACACATTAGTCCTCTGACCTTGATGTCACACACACGGAGTATATAATAACAAAGGTTTTCATTTTCAGTGCTGCCTAGGAGCTGGCAAGATGTGTCAGTGGGTAAAGATTGCCACACGAGCCTGATGACCTGAATCCAATCCCTGGAACCCACGTAAAGGTAGAAGGAGATAATCAACTCCAAAGCTGTCCTTTGACCTCCTACATACACCATGGCCCATGTGCCCACACACATCATGCACTCACATGCACAATAATAGTTTTGAAAAGCACTTCCTGCAAAGTACATCCATTCTGAGCACCACAGATGCTTAGGGTCATAAGAACCCCTAATATGGAGGTGGTCAAGAGTGCTAGGAAAAGCGAGGTGGTAGTAGCACACTCCTTTAATTCCAGCACTTCAAAGGCAGAGGCAGGCAGATCTCTGAGCTCAAGGCCAGCCTAGTCTACAGAGCAAGTTCCAGGACAGCCAGGGCTACACAGGGAAACCCAGTCTGGGGAGGGGAATGGGGAGTGATACTGTTGCTCATTAAACGGTTAAGGGTCCAGTTTACCTTGGGAGAAAAGCCACAAGGTATGACAAAGCCCACTGTAAGAGTTCATTAGGGTAAGGGGAACAGAAGGGAGTGATTAGGCCTATGGAGAGACCATGCAGGGAGAGGAGGCATAGGTGGAACCCACTTTTTATAGGTCCCCCTGCACATGCACATATGGGCTTATGTAGCTACACCACGCATGCGTATAGATTGCGTGATCACGATGACTGCAAATTACTCCATCACACAGTAGCACACAGCAGCGCAGGGATTCGGTAGGACATAAGGCCCTGGGATGACTAAGCCTCCTGCTTGGCTACTGGACAGCGCATGTGCAGTCATGTAGCTGGGGGAGTGGCTAGGAATTCTAACAGATACTAGGCAATATTGTTGCTGGAAGGCTTCTCTCCAGGCGCCACCAAGCCCCGCAGTCCCACAATCCACGTATAAAATAATCACTCAGACGCTTATATTATTTATAAACTGTATGGCCGTGGCAGGCTTCTTGCTAACTGATCTTTTATCTTAAATTAACCCATTTCTATAAATCTATACCTTGCCATGTCGCTTGTGGCTTACCGGCGTCTTCACATGCTGCTTGTCCTGGCGGTGGCTGCAGTGTCTCTCCTCCTCCTTCCTGTTTCCCCAATTCTCCTCTCTCTTTGTCCCGCCTATACTTCCTGCCTGGTCACTGGCCATCAGTGTTTCATTTATATAGAGTGATATCCACAGCAAATATGGCTATGGAATTGCCCTTCCTGGAGTGAAATTAATCACTTCTTTTGTTGTTATTGTTGTCAGTATGGTGGGCAGACAGTATGGAAAAGTAAGTGGTGGAAGATCTAGGATTCCACCACCCTTACAGGCTAACATGTCAGTGTACAGAGAACTGATCGAAGAGGCCCTCCTCTTTCTCTCTCTCTCTCTCTTTTTTTTTTTTTTTTTTTTGATGCCAGATCTCCTGGTTCAGGAAGAAAAGACTTTATTACTTAGGGAAAGTTTTACAGAGAAGGATGCACCAGTTAGACCTACGCCACTGTCACAATGCACCCCAGATCGTTAACTGAGGAAGAGGAAGGGTCTGCTTGGTCTCTTGGGCTCAGAGGTTTCCGTCCATGGTGGCTTCAGTGCTTTGTGCCTAAGGTTGTTAGGGTCGGAGAAAAGCTCCCCCAAGAAAGATACAATTTAGCAAGAGCGTTTATTTCCATCATGTTGGTGTGGCAAATAGCGACCCCGAAGGGTGGGCGCAAGCTCCTTTTAAACAGAGTTAGGGGAATTCCAGGGAGGAGGGATTAATCTGATTGGTGGAGGAAAGAGTAGTCTGGGAGCTGATTGGTTGGAGGCTGTAGTGGTTAGGGCCTTGTTGAAGGGAGGGTAGTAAGCAGAATGGGGCTTCGGGGTGCCTGCTGATTGGGCGCCCCTGAATTGTGGTCTTCCCGGGAACTGCTGCTCAGCTCCAGCCAGTTCCAGTGCTCTCAGTGGAAAGGGAGACAGACAATCACTGCGGCAGAAGAGCCTAGAAGGCTGCTCACCTCCTGGCGGCGGCGGGAAGCAGACAGGAGTAGCAAGAGCTCACCCCCAGTGACTCACTTGTGTGCATTAGTCCCCAGGTCCTAAGAGTTGCACGAACTCCCAGTAGCTAAGAGCCTTCTGTGCTTGGTCTTGGGGGAACATTTCATCCTCAAACCATGACTCCTCTGCTCCCCCAAATACGCATTTCCCATTGCATAAGGAACAGTGCATTTAGCCCCAAGAGTTCTTCAAGTTGCAAAAGTTCCAATTCTGTTCTGAGACCCAAGGCCAATGTCTGAAATCCCCCATATAAGGGAGGGGCGGGCACTTCCAAGATACAATTATACAGAGAAAACATTTACATTCTAAAAGGAAGGGATGGGGGATAGGAAGAAAGACACAGACAAAAAGCAAGGCTGACCCCCACCAGGCCAGTAACCAGCCCCGTGGCTTCTTGTCTGGTGTCTAGGATGGCATGATGGAAGGGCAAGCAACTGGGCAGATGGGCTGGAGAGATGGCTCAGCAGTTAGAAGCACTTATTGTTCTTGCAGAGGACCCGGGTTCGAGTCCCAGCACCCACATGGGGACTCACAACCATCTATAACTAATCCCAGGGTATCCAACCCCTCTTCTAAGCTTCCACAGGTGCTGCATGCACTCCCGGGCTCCTGTTCCATAGCCCCATGGCCATTTTCCTGTTCTGTGCCCCAATGTCTTTCCCTGCATCCTAATGCCAGGGGAGTAGGGGTGGCTGCTTAGACCCTGGTGGCGGAAGGGTCCTCGGGGAGGTTTGGTTTAAATGGCTGTGGAGCTTCACATGTGAATTGTCACCCAGTGAGCTGTCTGTATGACCTAGCTAAATTTCTGCCCCTCCCTAATGTTTGAGAACAGGATGCCCAAAGGCCAGAAGTTCCTCTTGAGATGACTTATTCAACACTGGATAGATCTAAAGTGGCTGCCAGCGTGGCCACCAGACAACCTCTAGATCTGTTACATTCTAATTCCCATTCTAAGGGACACACCTACAGGGACCTGGAAGCACGGGACCATTAAGGGAGCACAGGGAGGGGCGCTCACACTCTGGGAATCTTTGCTTGCTCCAAGAAAGGGCATGACATTCCCCTGGCCTCCTCCTCCCCCTCCCCTTCCCATTCTTGTCCCATTGCCACTAACATGCCGACAGAGCGATCCGCCCACAGAGCGATCCGCACACAGAGCGATCCGGGAGGAAGGCTCCAACACTCCATTCAGTGGTCACTTTATGAATGTGTGTTGCCTGTGCTCAGCTTTCCTTTCGCAACTGGACTTTAAAATCCCCAACAGAGAAAGAGCACTACCCTGAGAATCCCTTCCTCATGAGAAGCGCTAGCAGCCCAAGTAGCACATAAACCCAAATTTCTCAAACTACACATTCAAAAACTTTTAATGGTAAAATTTCCATTCTGAGATGGTCAAATTGAAGTGCTCAGTGCTGGCCTCTGTCTCTACAAGAAAGAATAACAAATGCATTGGTGTTGCATGGCGGAGGGAGAGCATGGAATCAGAGGAGACACAGGACTCTTCAAGACACTGATACCTGGGATGGGAGCAGGGGGAGGGGCACAAACCCCACTGGCAACCAGGGCCCTGCAGGGAGCTGTCCATGGTAAAGGGAAGGGCTAGACAAGAGGGTCCCAGCAGACCTCACCCCACAGATGATATTAATTATAGATCTTATATTAGCTAATATGTAATCATTGTTATTATATGTTAATTATTAACTGGCCAGAGGACAGTTCAACAGTCGTCTCAGGGTTAAAGTGAGTCAGGGGCCTTCCTGGGTCCTGGTGCCTTTGCTTCAGAGGAGACGCTCGCTTTGCCTTCCGACACACTCCACCACCAGAGCCACTGTCAGAAGTCACCTCCCTGGCGGAAAGACGCCCCTGCACACCGTCCCC